TGAGGTCAGATTTGGTAGCTGAGCTGAACCAGACAGTTATTGAAGTGCAGAGGATGGATGATATATGATATAATATGATACAAATGATATAATGAATGATCTGTGGAGTATTTTGAGCTGAAACTTCACAGACACATTCTGGGGACACCAGAGACTTATATTACATATTGTAAAACGGGGCATAATATGTCACCTTTAAGAACTAGAAGACCGTGTAAATGTGAGTGTGAGTGACCATCCTGAACCCGTCGAGCTTGTTCAAAGTGGATCCGTGCACAAAACCAGCTGTGTGTTTGACACAAGGTGTTGCATGATTGAGTCTTTACCTGGCACCGGGTGGCATACGGTTCTGCCAGCTTCCTCAGCGTGGCCACGCTCTCCTCCACCTGCCCTCTCTCAGGCTGCACACGCTGGATCTTCTGCTGCGGCCTCGTGTAGAGAGACAGCTGCGAGAGCAACGTTGATACAGAGTCAAAGTTCAAATAAACCTCTTTTCCTTAACGTTAAACTCTTGTTTGTAACAGTGCGTTCTGGTTCTGTTGAACACATACAGGTCAAACTGTCCTTAAACTTTTGAATTCCTAGTTAAACTCTTGCTTGTAAACAGTAAACAGACAAATACACATCTTTTCTCTCATTACTGTAATGCATCTGGATATTTTACTTTAGAATTCTAATTTGTAATTACATTTTTGAGTTTAATGTTAAACTCTTAATTTGTAATACAGATCTGTTTGGCTCGACAGAATTATTAGCCAGTTAAATAAATTTTTTTTTTTAGTTCAATGGGTTTTTTCCCCCTATTCTAATAATATTATAATCTGAAATTATAATATAAAGTGTTAAAAAATATTTTAAAAGTGTGAATCTCGTCAAACTTGTCAAGAACATGTCTGCATCACATTTCATCCCAAAATAATAATAATAAAAAACAAAATCAGTAAGAAATTGTATAGACAAATTTAGATCAAGCAATCAATAAATAAACAAATAAAAGTATTATAGGATGTTTTGCATCTTGACATTATTTTCATGACAAATAAACACATTTTCACACCAAATTCCCATTACTGTACTGCATCCAGACTTTTTACTTTTGAGTTTTTTTTTGTAATTGTCATTATTCTCAATGGTTTTCTGGCTTAAAATAAACAAAAAAACAATGTTGCTTTAGCAACTAAATGAAAATAAGTTTAAATTGAAGTACTAAAATCAGTAACACTGAAAATACAGCTAAATAGAATTTGTTTAAAAAAACTAAATTAAATAACAGACACAAAATTTCTAAAATTAAACATAAAACTGAAAATATAAAAATAAAAGCCAATTCAAAATACACTATAATACTATATTAATAATACTAAAATAGCACTAAGTGTAATAAAATTGTATAATGTCATAATTTGCTGTTTAATGCATTTTCAGTATTCTAATCATGTATGTTTTATATTTGAGCATATTTTTTCTGTTGCTGCACAAGGCAAGATTATATTATTTATAATATGAAAAGGTTATCAGATATTATTTTAGGTTTATATTATTCCCAAAAAATTTTAAAAAAAATTAAAATATTGATTTGGCTTTGACTTTTTTTTTCTTTTTCTTTTTTAAATCTGCATCAATTATTAATTATCATCATTTAATATAATCATTATTCTCAATGGTGATTCTCATTAAATTTAATTGACTTGATTTTCTTCATGTAAACTGCATTGTTTTCTTTCTCAGTTGATGTTAGGGTTCAGACGTGACTTTACCTCATCTACACTCAGAGCTGTGCCGGGTTTGTCATCGTCATCATCAGCGGCCGCCAGCACAGAGGCTGAGATCAATCCCAGAGTGCCAGAGACTCCTGCAACCCCTCCGACCTATCAGAGCAGCCGCAGCGCCGTCGCCACGGAAACAGAGAGCATGAATGAACCGGTCAGATGGAATTTCCAGGTCAAGCGCAACACACTGCAGAACTTCACAACGGCTGAAGCCAGACGGTCGGGTTTGTGCTCACTGTCAACACATGCTGAATGTTTCTTGTTTAAGCAAGAATAACACACAGTCTATTTACTCAAACTGCTGTTTTGAGGACATTCAAGGTCCCTCCGTTTCTCCGCAGGCGTAGAGAGTAGCTGTGACATAATATCAGAAACTGGAGGTCAAATCATTTTAAATATGGCCAATGTTGAGGTCAAGGGTTGAAGACACACAATAACTGTTTTGATCCTCTTTTTCCAGTCCTTTGCTTTTCACATGACTGATATTCACTTCTACTTGCATATGAGAAATTGATAACATTGCAATTGATACGTTTTAAGTATAAAGTTAAGCTAGGTAATTCCTGTTAGATTCAGTCCATGCAACAATTAGTGTCTATTGAAAATCGCTTTTGATAATTGAAGTGAGTTCAAATAAAGTATAAATATTAGATGAAAATCTTGTCTTAGAAATGTTGCAACTAACTGAAAAGTACTAAAATCACTCAAACTGAAAATTAAAGCTAAATAGAAGTTGTTTTAAAAACAAAACGAATATAAAAATAATCTCAAATTAAACTAAAATGAAAACTGACAATATAAAAATAAAAGCTAATAGTATATAAATAATATATGTATAATGTATATAAATAATAACAGAGCACTAAGTGTAATAACATTGTTTAATGTGATTTTTCTTTATTGTTTTAACATTTTCAGTATTCTAATCATCATGTATATTTTATATTTGGGCATATATTTATATTTTTTCTATTGTTGCACACGTGTTGCCACCAGGAAAGATTATAATATTTATTAAAAACAAGTTATGAGATTATTTTAGGTTCATATTATCCCAAAAAGATTAATCCATTTAAAAAAAAATATATATATATATTTTAATGATTTTCATAATAATCAGCAGTAAAACCATAGACTGTATAAAACAAAACATTGTTTTCAGTTTCTCTTAAGGATTTAACGTGTTTTGTCGCCATCTAGTGGCCAAATGTGAAAACGCAGCTGAGCGCTGTTTTACTATTTTAATAATAAAATATTATAAAATGTAAGGTTGGTATCAGTCGATTTATAAACTTTAATTTCATCTGATATTTTCTGCACAGACAGTGGCAAAGTCAATAAAATCCAAAAGAGAGTTTGACTTTTACTACTGGTATAATGATCAGACATTACAAATCGCGCCGATATATTTACATTTTTATACAATAAACTCCGTCTATAGAATCACAGCAGCCTAAAATCCTACATAGAATAGCGGTGTTAGCTTTATTTAAACAAGTAAAATAGTTAGTTGTATCTCTTCTGCAGTGCCCTTGTATTTCCTGCCCTCAAATGCCTCTTTATAAAGCTCAAAAATATATAATAATCTTTATAATAACATCAGCTCGACTGAAACCCTTGTAGCTGTTTCTTAAAGCCTGGACAGCGCAGGACTGCGCGCTTTATCAGTGTGTTAACAGGAGGAACAGAGTCAAGAACACGAACTGAACGACAGAACTGAAGTTTCTAATGCTCACCTTGTACATGGTCCAGTCTTCTTCTCCTTCTTCTTTCCGATTGCGCGGCTGCGATCAGACTTTCATCCGCTGAGCGCCATCTAGAGTTCATCAAGCGCACTACACCCCCGGGACATTTACTCTTTTTTTACAGGTTGTTCATATTTATTCCATATATAATATAATATAATATATATATATGACAGTTCTACAGTACTAGGGCATAATACATAAACATTACAATAATTAAAATGTACATTAATTTTGAATAAAAAATTTAGCAATAGGATAGAAATGGATATTTATTTATTTATTTATGCATATATTTATATTACGTTTTTATGCAATCTGTGTATTCAGTGATTCTATTTGATTCATTCCTGGTACATTTCACGAAGAATTAAAAAAAGAAAGTACGACACTAAATTAAACATGACATTTTGAAGCAGGAAAACTGAAAGTGTTTTCTTCTCAAATGTACTCCAACCCATAAGACAAGAATATTTATTAAAATATGTGTTAAAATATATTTCAAAATATATCAAAAAAAGTTTTATGCAATCTATGTGTATTCAGTGATTTGTTTTATTCATAGCAGGGTTATTATGGTAGAATAAAATTAAAACAAGTTTTTA